TGGCAGTATCCCCTGTACCATGCAGAAAAGGCCACACCTTTTGGAAGGTGGAAAGCATAGCAGTCCAGATCATAGGCATGGCCCGTACCTTCAGCCAGGGGCCTTTGATGCCCCAGGCACCCTCTCGGAGCCCCAGGGCCTGACCGCAGTCCTGGCACCGAGGACTGGCCACATGGTCCAGCTGGGTGGCACTGGTGTCTGGTCTGCCTGCCAAGTCCATCACCCCTCCCTCCACGACCACCCAGAGGTTTTTTGTTTTTTTTTAAATTTAATTTAATTTAATTTTTTGAGACAGAGTCTCACTCTGTTGCCTGGGCTAGAGTGCCGTGGCATCAGCCTGGCTCACAGCAACCTCAAACTCCTGGGCTCAAGTGATCCTCCTGCCTCAGCCTCCCAACTAGCTGGGACTACAGGCATGCGCCACCATGCCTGGCTAATTTTTTCTGTATATTTTTAGTTGTCTGACTAATTTCTTTCTATTTTTAGTAGAGACAGGATCTCACTCTTGCTCAGGCTGGTCTCAAACTCCTGACCTCGAGCAATTCTCCCACCCCAGCCTCCCAGAGTGCTAGGATTACAAGTGTGAGCCTCCACACCTGGCCCACCCAGGGGCTTTTATTTTAAAATATTGGCTGAGCACTGACTGTGCAGCAGGCACTGGACCATGCTTTGTTTGGGGGGTTGTCTTTTATTGGGGGGTGGTTAAAACTTTTCTGTTGATCCTCTGGCACACAGAATTAGATTAATTATATCCCTTGGCTTGTGGCACACTCTCAAGCAATGGTCTATAGGCAGTCAATACGCATAATTTCATTTACTCCTTTAGCAACCCAGACAGACTGCTAACGCCGTCATCCCATTGTTCCGATGAGGAAACTGGAGCTCTGAGAGGTTAAGAAACTTGCTTAAAGTCACCGCCTAGTAAAGGACTGAGCTGGGATTTGGACCCCAAGCCAGTCTGACTCTAGAGCCAGTCTACTCTGTTATGTTCTAAACTTGATCTGGACACAGGTGTTACTAGGCAGAAGATAGAGTTGAAACATGGGCAGAGTCAGGGGCTGGTGAGTAATCGTGACATGGGGACATTCAGGCAGTCCCCCAGGGCTGAGGGTGGGAAAGAGGAGAAGGCTCAGAGTGGATGGGGAGGATGCAGGAGCAGGCTGAGGGGGCTTCCTCAGGTGGGCGGGAGGAGGTGTAGACACTCACTGCGGGCCACGATCTCCCCCTGCAACTGGTACCGGGCCACGTCGAGCACCCAGAAGACAGCATAGTCCAGGAAGACCAGAAGCAGCACAAGGAGGAGGTGTCGGATAAGGTTGAAGGTCTCCAGGGTGTAGACCAACTGCTCCCATCGGGACAGGAAGATGGAGCCTGAGTGGGGGTGGATGGTGAAAAGGGTGCTCCCCTGTGCTCCCATCCACCATTCCACAGCTGCTGCCCCTGATTGAGCCTGGGCCTGTTTGCCCATCAGGAAGAGGAAAGGGAAAGAAGCTAGGAGGACCCACGGCCAGCGTGGGGAACACTGTTCAGGGGCAGCGGGCTCGGTGGCTACAGGAGCTGGTCTAGCATCTCCACCTGGGCCCCGTGACCCTTCCCAGTCGCCAGGAACCCTCCCTCCTGGGGCATCCCTCATCCCCTTACCTGGCTCCCCACCTCACAGGCAGTCCTCCCTGCCATTTTAGCACATCCACGTTTCCTGCCCCCCCAAGCCAACTTCACTTCCTCAGTTCCACTCGCCACCTATCCTTCCTCCTGTCCTGACCTCCAGGGTGTTCCCAGAAGCACCACCTGCCCCTTCCTGTCTGTCCGCATTCTCCAAGATGTCCACTTGCCCCAGAGCTCCCCAGGGACTGGCTGTGTCTCCCCCTCAGCTTGAAATTTCCTTGAGCTCTGAGTCGTTTCTCCTCCCTCTGTCCCTTCCCCAAGCCATGCCTCATCCCTGCCTGTGCAGTGGCTGAGGGTCAGACCAGGGGGGCTGGGGAAAGCCCTGACTCCCCAAGAGGCCCTGCTCTCCCCAGCCTGGGGCCTCACCCGGCTGGATGTAGCGGCCGGCCTCGTGGGCACTGAGCGGCAGCACCGTGGGCAGCCCCGCCGTGGCGCGCACGGCCTCCATGTGCAGGAATCGGCTGGTGATGTAGACGTTGTCGAAATTATCCCAGTTCAGGTAACAGTACCGGTAAAACAGGGCTCTGGATGGGTGGAGCGCACGTGAGGCCCTCAGCACCCCGGACCAGACCCCACAGGCACCCTGTGACTTCAGCCTCCCAGGATGCCCTGGGCATGAGCCGGTCCCCGCAGCCCCGGCCCTGCAACCGCAGCGCCCACAGCCTCACTGGAGGTAGAGCAGCACGAGCAGCAGAGGCGTGGTGTAGCCCATCAGGGCCAGGGCCTCCCGGACGCGGTACAGCTTCATGCTGACGGCCTCGCGGAGGTCCACTGCCACCTGGGACAGGCTCCGAGAGGCATTGAGATCCACAGAGAAGTGGTGGGTGACTGTCATGTTGAACTCAAACTCCTGACGTACCCGGTCAATCAACTTCATCACAGCTGGGACCAGCAGGTCCAGGGGAGAGTGCGCAGGGAGAGTTAGGGTAGGGCAGAGCCGCACTGGGGCGAGGGGCTGGCCCAGCCCACAGACCAGCCAGGAACCCCCAGTGTTTGCACCTGCAGTGAACTGGGGAAGGGACAAAGCCCCGCCTTCTGGGCCATCGCCATGCATGCCTGGCACCCGGCATTACGCCCGGCACGCAATAGCTGCTCCAGAAGGAAGGATCTCGATGACCTAAGCTTGGGACGGGAGGCCCCGCTTCTGTTCTCAGCTCCTGCTCTCAAGTAGAGCTTTGTTGAGGCACCTCCCCTCCACTGGGTCTCAATTTCCTAATCTGCACAGCAGGGACATTGGCCTGGGTGACCTCTTGAGGTCCTTTCCTGCTCTTGCATTCTTGTTTATGGACTGGGAGCACTCAGGGCTGGCAATGGCCATGCCAGGATGAGGGAGGGAGACCACTCAAGAGCACCATATGTGGCAGGGGCTGGGAGGGGTCACTTACGCGTGCCGATGGTCTTGCGCAAGAAGGGCTGGATGTACTTGGGGATGACGCAGAACACCTGGGCCACTGAGAGTGGGAGGCTGCTGAGTGTTGGGAGGAGGGGCAGAGACACATCCTGCTCCCCCACCTCCCAGGACCCCCTTCTCACAGGGCCTCTTGACTGTTCTATTAGCCTTCGCATTTGCTCAAAGCCTTTAGCCCCTCCCTATTGCCCACCCCCCACATTGGCCGCTCCCTCTGCCCCCCATCCGTACTGGGCCCAGTATCCTTACTGGTTCCATATTCGTTGCCCTCTCTTGCTCCTGGGGGGGCCTACCCTCCCAACTAACCCCCACATTCCCACCCCAAACCCCTGCCCCACATAGGCCCCTCCCTGCTGGCGGCCCGGGCGTTCTCACGGCTGGCAAGTCCACAGAGCACCAGTTTGAAGGGCATGAGCACGTAACACAGGTGGTAGGCTTGTGGGATGACCTTCATGCAGCTGTCCTTGGCATCGTCGAAAACCCGTGCACACTTCAAGTAAGGGTTGCCCAGCTCCGAGTTGCACACATCGCCAATGTGTAGGAGCCAATACCACACATTTCGCAGGGCCCTGGCTGGGGACAGCTGTGGGGCTGGTACCCAGGGCTGGAGTCCTGCAGCCACTTCTCAGGGTTTGGGGAACAACAGCACAACACCCAGTGTTGGAGAGACCTGTGGCCAGGGTCTTGGCTGTGCTGTATCCAGTGGATACTAGGCAGCACCCAGGAGGGGCTCAAAGAGGCCTAGGCAGGGGTGAAGGTGGGAGACTGGGTGCCCCTTGACCCCCCCAATTAGTCATGGTAACGTGCTTACCTACATGCTTCACACCGTCCATGATTGACCGGAAGAACTTGCGGACCCGGTCAGCCACTTGTTTGGCCTTCTGGGCAATGGCTTTAATCTTGTTCAGGGCACCTGAGGGGCAGGGGCAGGGGCAGGGGCACTGTGGGCCTTCTCCTCTAGGGACTGGTTCTCACCTTGCCTCTGGGGCAGTGAGTGGAGAGGGGCTGCCACCCCGGAGGTGGGGAGCCTGGGCGCCTGGGCTGGGAGTTAGTTAATCTGGAGTGGGGGAGGCCAGAGAGTGCGAGTAAAAGGGTCTAAGTGGGCCCAGAGGTCCTTGCCAGGCCTGGATGCTTTGAGATTAGGACACAGTACCAGCAGAGAAGAATGAAGCCCAAGGACTGTAGAACATGCAGGACAAGGGGGACATGGGGACCGGTGGAGACAGTGGCAGGTGAAGGAGACTCACTGACAAGGGGCTGCCTGGCCCGCTCCAGCATTTCAGCTGTCTGGTTCAGGGCCAGCTCTGCCCCACAGGCTACAGCCTCACTGGCCCGGGTGAAGTTGCGCAGGGTGTTGGCACAAGGCCCTTGCAGCACCAGCCCAAAGGCAGCCACCAACAGCAGCATACGGCCCTGCCCTGGGGGTGACAGCTCCATCAAAACCAGGACCCTGGCCATGAACAGGGCAGCAAGTCCTTGTAAGTCTTTGGAATATTTCCCTTAACCCTCCCCATCCCCCAGGATCCCTCCTGACCCCGGACCTGTCCCCTTCCATGGGTGCCAGGCTCACTGGAGAAGGCCTGGGGCAGCAGCAGGAAGACAGTGACTCGGACCTGGCGAGAGAATGCCATGCCCAGGCTCAGGAAGGCAGCCAAAGTGAGGGTGCCCACCAGGCAGCCCCAGGGGCTTTGCCCTTCCACCAGGAGCTCCAGAAGCCCATAGGCTGTGGCCAGCAACAAGCCCAAGCTAAAAGCCCCCACACTGAGGACCAAAGCTCGTGCCATGCTAGGCTCCTCTTCCCTCAAGGGGTACACAGCGTCCTTCATGCCTTTGGGCATGGCTGCTGAGACCAAATGTTTGCCTGTCTCTAGGAGATGCCCACCAGGTTCTGTGCTCCTGGAATTTCTCGCCATATTCTAAGGTTCCGGAGGACTTTCCCTGCATGTATCTTGGAATCCCTTATCCAGTTCCAAGGACTGGTGCGGGAATAGGTAGGTCTCTAATCAGACCTAAGACAACTCAGAGCAGAGGGACTGAAGGACGTGCAGCTCAGACCTTGGCTGTGAGCGAGACGGGGGAGGCAGGCAGCCCCTCCCCTCTCTCACCAGAACCCCATGTCCCAGGAAATCCTTGAGGAGCCTTCTGGGATGAGAGGGGCTTCCCTGGCACAGGCTCATGGACGTTAAACGTCATCAGAATGGAGCCAAAGGGCAGAGAAGGAAACCACCCCATTCCAGTGAGTCAGTCACCAGAGGTCCCACCCTTCCCAGCACGGCCAGCCTCCACTCCTCTCACCCCATCTCTCCTGCAGGGTCCCTCCACCCCTCTCATCTAGTGGCCCCCTCCAGCCCAGCCCCACTTCCTCATCCTCTCCCAGCCTCTGTCTCCCTGCAAGCCCCCAATCCTAATGAGCCACATCCCAGCCAGAAGAGCGGGCTGTTGAGAGAAACTGTCCCACCTCTCAGCGGTGCACAGGCTCCTGAGCTGGGGGCTGCCAGTGACCTGCCGCCAGTTCCTGTGGCGCCAGCCAGGCGAGTTTCCTGTCACTACTTTCCTGCTGGGGGCAGGCGCTGGGGGCCTCCTGGCCATAGGTGAGTGTGGAAACAAAAGGCCAAAAGTGGACAGGGGCTAGCCCAGGGCTGGGACCCATCTTTTGACCTTTGGCCCTTAGGTCCGTGCCCTGTGCCCTTAGGTCTCTTTCAGCTCCTGGTGAACCCCATAAACATCTATGAAGAGCAGAAGATGGTGATGTTGTACAGCTTGGTGGGTTAGTGCTGGGCAAGGCCAGGCTGTCTCGAGAGGCCTGAGGAACATGGACCCATCCCCCACGCCCAGGAAGGAGCCTGAGCTTGTGTCTTCTGCGCCCAAGCTTCCCTGTGGCTTCAGCCTCCTCTGAGGCTTTAGGGGGAGGTCCAGGGGGAAGAGGTTTCCAATGTAAGGAAGAGGACACTGTCCTTCCCCAATCTAAGGGACTGCCCGCTGCCCACATGATATGGTCCAAACCCCACAACCCTTCATAATCCTCATCTCTCACGACCTCTCTGGCCTCATTTTCTGCTTCTCCTGAGAAATTCAATTTGTTCGTTCATTCATTCATTCATTCATTCATTCATCCAGCACTTACTGAGCACCTGCGCTGAGGATTCAGCAGGGAACACGGCTGACAAGCACTCAGGCTTTCTGGAGTTTGCATTCTGGTGGAGAGAGGTAGACAATGAGTGAACGATAAATAAGAGCATTTCTGATGGTGACAAGTAGTTTGAAAAAAAGTAGAACAGGGGGATGTGATAGAAAGAACTTGTGAGGCTGGGCGTGGTGGCTCACGCCTGTGATCCTAACACGCTGGGAGGCCAAGGCAGGAGGATCGCTTGAGCTCAGGAATTCGAGACCAGCCTGAGTGAGAGTGAGACCCTGTCTCTACTAAAATTAGAAAGAAATTATCTGGAAATTTTAAAATATATAGAAAAAAAAATTAGCCAGGCATGGTGGTGCATGCCTGTAGTCCCAGCTACCTGGGAGGCTGAGGCAGAAGGATTGCTTCAGCCCAGGAGTGTGAGGTTGCTGTGAGCCAGGCTAATGCCACGGCACTCTTGCCCGGGCAACAGAACAAGACTCTGTCTCCAAAAAAATAAAGAAAAGAAAAGAAAGAAAGGGTCCGGGAAGCTACCCTTGCTCAAGTAGTCAGGGAAGATTCTCAGAGAAGGTGATATGTGAATGGAGATCTTATATCAGGAGGTATTGGGCTGCAAGAACAGAGAACCCACCTAAACATGGTTTAACCGTAGAGAAAGTTTATTATCTCACATAGTAAAAGTTTCAAGGTAGGGTGGTTTTGGAGTTTGGATAATTCAACAGCTCAGTAACCTACCCAGGACTTGGGTCCCTTCAGTCTTTTCCCTCTGCCATCTTTGGCTTGTCAACCCCTCCTCTTCAGGTAACAAAATGGCTGCAGCAACTCCAGTCATCACATCTTCATACAGCAATTCAAAGGCCAGAAAAAAGAGAAAGGAACATCCCTTTCTCATGTCCCTCTTTAAGAACTAGGAAAACTTCCCTATAATCCCCCCAGCAGACTTCCCCTCCCATCTCTTTGGTAAGAACTGCAACACATGTGCTTTCCTGAACCTGTCCCAGGCAAAGGGAATGGAATTAGTATCTCATCAGTTTATTGAATGAATCCTGTCAGATACCAACAGGAAACGACTTTTTCTCTGACCACCATATTCAAACATGTTCTCCCATTGATGACCTTTCAAGAAAGCTTGTATTCCTTTATTTTTTTAATTTATTATATATTTTTAGTTGGTCATTAATTTCGTTCTATTTATAGTAGAGACGGGGTCTCGCTCTTGCTCAGGCTGGTCTCGAACTCCTGACCAGGAGCGATCCGCCCGCCTCGGCTTTCCAGAGTGCTAGGATTACAGGTGTGAGCCACCACACCCGGCCTGCTTGTATTCCCTTAGAAGACCTAGCCCTGCTTCAGTCATTGACTTATTTTCAGGGATTGAGAGGTCCAATACACTCTTCATCAAAATTTCAAACTCACATCCATTCCCGAGCCTCTTCCCTCCCCCAGCCCCCAGCTCAGGCCTGGTCCCTGGCACGGGGTCCTGCCATAGAGAAGGGACGTGGCCTGCTCTTCCACTCTTTTCTCCGCTTCCTTCCTTTTTTGGTTCTTCTGATGTCAGAAAGGAGATTAGAAGAATAAGAGGGAAAGAAACAAAAGTCTGAAGTCACCGATGCCGTTATGATTCCACTGCCGGTGGCCTCTGTGTGGCAGGCGTCCCCAGCCTGGCCGTCCCAGCGGGCCGTGTGTGGTCTCAGTGCAGGCTCTGTGTGGACCTCGGCAGAGCCCAGTTCCCTGCAGAGGGCAGTTCTACTTGGATGACTTCTTATGAAGCGCCCCTTAGCTCCTACAGGCCACCATAGCCTCTTACTTTTGCATCTGTCCCTCAGGCAGGCTGCCTTCTTGGAGGGTAACCTCACAGATGACTCCCAGTCTGCTGCCCCCCAAAACACCCACTTGTCCTGGAGGTAATGCACACATCCTTGCCCTGCCAGACAGGGAAACAGGGCCCCTTGTGGCTGCCCTCTCTCCTGCTCTGAGGAGGGGCTGGGGCTGGGGCTGGTCTCAATCCCTGCTCAGCACCCCCAAAAGTGCTCCCCCGACTCTGTGCTTTGGTGGCAGCCCTGGAGCTGCCCTGCGAGGGCTTGGCAGAAGTCCCATCCAGGAGGGATGAGGCAGATTCCCCTTCCTGCAGCACCAGTCTCTGAAGAGCCTCGGACCCCTGCAGCCTCTCACTTGGCATGTGACGCCCACCCTCCACAGATGCTCCCTCCGTGCCTGCCCACTCCAGCTGCCTCCTTCCACTTCCGGGAGATTCACATTGCCAGCCTCTTTATATGGACTCAGGACAGAGGAGTGAAAGGCTAGTTTTGCTCTTTTGGTAACCCAACAAAGAGACCTGCAGTGCCAGGGGGCTCTCATTAGAACCTAGGGCAACTATTTGTCCTCAGCTTGCTTGGGTCTTTAGCTAGAAGGCCAAGACCACAGAACAAGTCCCTTGCAATGTCCTGTTACACCACAATGAGTTTAGACAGATCCAGATTTACCCCCCAGGGGCCAGGACAGGGCCAGGCTATTGCCCTTGAACAAAACCCAAGTTGTGTTAGCAAAGAGGAAGGCAGAAAAAACTGCTGGGTGGCACCCGACAAGGTTTGCCACAAACCTGTATGACTAGGTGGAGGCAGCCATGTGAAGAACTGGGGGAGGAGTGCCCCTGGCGGGGACACAGCCAGGGCAGAGACCTGAGAGGAGGAATGAGCTTGGTGTGTCCAAGGAGCAGCAAGAAGGTCTGTGTGGGTGGACGTGGTGGGAGAGGGGCCGAGTTGCATGAGATCACTTCAGAGGGTAGGCAGGGGCCAGATCATGAGGGTCAGCAGGCCATGTTAAGGGAGTTTGGATTTTGTCCCCAATGTGGTAGAAAGTCACTGAATGGTTTGAAGCAGGGAAGGGACACGATCCAATGTATGCTTTTAAAAGATCACTCTGGCTACTTTTTGTGAAAATTGAAGTATAAGGTAGCAAGAGAGACAGTAAGGACTCTAGTTAGAAGGCTACAGTCCCAGTGAGATGATGGGGACTCCATGAGGACAGGGGAGATGGAGGGAAGTGTAAGGATTTGGGATTTGATTTGGGCGAACACTCCATCAACACAGGAATCTTCTAGCTTCCCAACCAGCTTATGCTGTTCCTTTGGCCTGGAATGCCATCCGCACCTCCTAACAACACTTACTCATCTTCCAGGCTGAGCTGACACATCATCTCCTTTGTCCAGCCTTCCCAGCCCCACCCCTCCCTGCAGAAATACCTACTCCCTCCTTGGCTCCCACAGCTCTCTGTAAGCACCGCCCTTGTGCACTTAGCACATCGTGTTGCAGTCATTTGTTTACTCATCTGTCTCTCTCCCTGGATTATGAGCTTCGAGGAGCTCACTGTCTCCTTGCAGAGACCACAGGGAGACACATGCGAAACTTCTAAAACATACCAGGCATGATTAAGGGCTGCAATTAGAGGCAGAGACTGTGAGTGCTGAAGGTGTCAGGGCACTGGGAATATCGCGGTGGGCTCTGACCTCTCTTCTGACCACTCTGAGCACCAGTGCTTGTTTCCAGAATTTTTTCTCTTGCCCTCTCTGCTCCCTTCAGCACCTAGGGTAAGCTCGACACCATCCTGGATATGGAAAGTGTTGGCTTCCTTCCCTAATATAAACAAGCACATCACACACACACACACATTCACGGCTTTTTAACCTCTTGCCATCTCTCCATGCCCTTCTGGAGACTGGCACACAGGGAACTCTGTAAGTGGCTGTTGAATGAATGAATGAGTGGCCTTCTAGGCCTATCAGGTCCGTGTAAATAGGCACAAGGGCAGGGCAGTGGTGGCTGCAGCCAGGGTGGCTGCAGGTGGGTGCCCTGGTAAACATGGTGACGAGGCGGCTTCCTCACTTTGCCTTACCATCTCCTGGGCTCTCCTGACAGGCTTGGGGGCCATAGGCTGGGGGACCTCCCCTCACATCCGCTGTGCCAGCCTCCTGCTAGTCCCCAAGATGCTGGGCAGAGAGGGCAGGCTCTTTGTCCTCGGATACGCCTTGGCTGCCATCTACGAGGGTGAGTGTGTGCCCCCAGGTGCCGGTTAGCGACACTGAAGCAGTGACCCTGGGTGGGCCACCCAATGGGAGCCAGGCCTGGTGAAAGAGAAAAGGTGGGGGTCTAATCCCAGCTGCTCCAACTTGCTGTGTGTCCCTAGGAGAACTCCCCTCATCTCTGTGCCTCCTCAGTTTACATGAGTGAAAAAATCAAGGGTTGAGTGAGACAACCTTTCACAGGCTTCTGGGCCCCGTCATGGTGCATTTCTAGAAGATGGTCACTGAATACAGAGAAGGAGCTAGGGTGGGTTTGAGAAAGTATTGGTTCTACAGAAAGGTGACCTACCAGGCCTCTTCCTCTAGGGCCAGTGGCCAATCTGCGGCACAACCTCAATGAGGTGATATCATCGCTGGGCTGCACCGTGGAACTGCAGATCAACAACACGCGCGCGGCCTGGCGCATCTCCACGGCCCCCTTGCGAGCCGTGTTCAAGGACCTGCTGGTCAGGACTGTGCACGGGCAGGGGGTGGGGGTCCCTCTCCCTGGGCCAAGTTGGCTTGAGCTGGGAGCTGTCACCCTGGCTTTACGGTTTCCCAATGCAGATACTATCGGCATGTTTTGCAGAACTATCTCTGAGCATTGCCGAATGTACCCTGGTCCCAGGACAATAAATGCCAGGAGGGCCCCCCAGGCATTGGAATATGCCCTACACACATTTCCAAATACCTGAGTGGGCAGTACTCGGGGCAGCTGAACTAGAACATCTAGGAAAACTGGGGGCCTTGACCTTCAGTAGTTCAGAAGCTCTGAAGACCAGGGGACCAGGGAATTGGATACTCTAGGGCTAGAGATTAGGGATTTGGGAGAATTGGAGAGTTGGAGAATAGAGGAGATGGGGGCAGAGGGGTTTGGAGTTGGGGATATTCAGATGGCATAATGATCTAAAAGATTAGTGGTGAAGGGTGGGTCCAAGGACCTGGGGAACCACTATCTAGTAAGGATGTGGGACATAAGGCCTGAGGAGGAACTGGGACACAAGTGCAGCTAAGACATGGCACAGATGAGACAGCTGGGGAGAGGAGAGAGCTCCCCCAGGACTATGGACAGTGGGAAATTTGAGGTGAGAGGCTGTGTCGTAGGGTCTAGGCTCCCTGTAGGCCTGGGGTAAGAGCCCAAAGCTGGACTAGTGGTGGGAGGACAGGCTGTCAGGCAGCAGAAGCTCTAAGCCCCCATCTGCCATCCCAGTCCTTCCTCCCCCTCCAACTCCAGGGCAGCAAAGAATCACTGAAGGCAGAGACTCAGAACATCACCACTTCCTTTCAAGACCTGGATGGCCAGGTGAATAGTGAGGCTGGCTACAAGCCAGAGGATGTCTCGGACTCAGAGAAGACAGCCCAAGGCATAAAGACCCACCAAGCCCCAGCCTCCAGGTTCCACCTCTCGACACAGAAGATGTATGAGATGAAGACCAAGCTGCGCTGCTCCTGTGAGGGGTATCCCTGGGCAGGGAAGGGTGGGGTGGGCCACAGGGCTGGGGTTCCAGGTCAGGATATGGGAACCTTAGACATCCCTTCCCCCTTCCTACAGATGTGGTGAACAAGGCCATACTCAGCTGCCGTCGTTGGTTTGACCGGAAGCATGAACAGTGCATGCAACACATCAAGGTCCCACTGCTCAACCACCTGCTCTGTCTGCCCATGAAGTTCAAGTTCTTCTGTAACATTGCCAAGGGTAGGCACAGAGGCAGGAGGGTGGGTGGCACAAGGGCTAGGGAGCTGAGTCCTTGGGGGCCACTGGTAGGTGTGGCACAGGAAAGCAATCAGATGGGGAGGGCTTAGGCTCTGAGGACACAGCACCCTCCAAGGCAGCCCATCCCCTGACTGGCTTTGTGGCCCAGAGTAAGTTATAGCAAAGCTCTGGGCTTCGTCTCTTCATCTGAAAGATGGGCGTAATAATAGCACTTATCCCATTAGGAGTGTTTGAGTAGGAAAAGGGCTAACTCATGTGAAGCAGGTAACAGCGCTGGCACGCAGAGGAAGCACACTGTAGATGCCGGCAATCAATATTAGTGTTAGATTTGGTTAAGAATGATGGGGGGAGGGGAGGGGGAAATCAGGACTGGCTCCTGGGAGGAGGATCCAAAGAGAGCAGAGAGGGGAGGACTCAGTGTGGCAGACAGCCATGGGAGAGAGGCAAAGGCAGGATGGAGGACCACGGGAGGGTAGGCAGGCCTGCCAGGCCCTGGACTGCAGGCTGGGCACGAAGCCCCACCTGGCCCCACTTGTCCACCAGCGATGGAGTTTTGGTGCCGCAGTCGCATCCCAGTGGAAGGCAACTTTGGGCAGACCTACGACTCCCTCAACCAGTCTATTCATGGCCTGGATGGGGAATTTTCAGCCAATATTGACCTCAAGGTAAGAGGCAAGGGCGTGGCTGCGAGGCAGATAGGGAGTGGGAGGAGGGCATTTGGGAATAGGGCATGAGGAAGGACAAGTGAGAGGGCACAGGAAAGAGGTGACTGGGGATGAGGGAAGGGGACAGGGAGGGGAATGGTGTTGGTGTTGTGGGGGAGGGGACAAAGCCAAGCCAGGTATGCATAGACCTGCCTTGGGGAGGGAATGGTCAGCCAGGTGTGAGATGGTGTCAGCTGATATGTGCAAGGAAGCAATACTGTGTCAAGGAGGGTAGTGGGCAGAAGGGACAACTCCTGAAGATCCTGGGAGGATCCTGGGGACATGAGTCAGGTGGCAGGGGAGAGATGTCACCAAGGGGCTGGGTGTGGGTCTGGCGAGACTGCGGCGGGCTGAGCCTGCATACCTGCCTTCCACCAGGAAGCGAAGCAGGCGGGGCTGCTGGGCCTCAACACGAGCTGGGAGCATGTGAGCACCGAGGTGCGGGACTATGTGGAACGCCAGGAGGCCTGGCTGGAGCACACCCTGGGGCTGCTGCACGTGCTGCTGTCCTGCACCTTCTTGCTGGTCCTCCGCGCGTGAGCCATGACCCCCGCCCCAGCAGCCCTTCCTTCACCCTGGATGGGGGCCCTGCCCTGAGGGAGGTGATAAAGATGGAACTGCAGATTCCATCCCCAGCTCTGCATTGGAATGTTTTTACCTTTAACTTTGCCTTCTTAAGATGAGTTCGTTGTTTATACAGAGTCAAAGAAAACGTGGACATTTTGTCAGAAGAAACATTACCCGAGTTCCCACCATCTTAAAAGGCCAACCGTCTTCATTTATCCACCTCCTTCCGGCCTTTATCCCAGAACTGACTTTTTTTACATTCAGCTTTGACTTTTGATTTTTTCTTGCCCTTCATATTCCCCTTGGCTCTGACTTTGTGCCATTTTTATCATCCAATTTTGCTTTCATTTTCTCCCGCCTGCTGCGTTGGCAGCTACTTTCCCTCCATTTAGAACAAAGTCCTCAACCCCACCCAGCCCAGTGTCCAGCTGGGCAGCCTGGGCCTCTCTGCACTTGTTCCCTGCTGACCTCTGGACCCTCCATTTCCTGTCTCCACCCCAGACGCCTGGGGTGGGCAGGGGCTGGGCAAGGGCAGCCACAGGGGCTGTTCACTGCTCCTGTTTGTGTGCCCCAGAGTGACTGCAAGGGAGTGGTTGTGTGTGTACCTAGGCCCTTTAGGGGGACAAAGATGAGTGAGCCATATTCCTGCCCTCAAGAGGCTCATGGTCTAGTGGGGGTGGTGAGAGACACCCACAAGACACAGATGGTCAAGGGCCATATGGACTGCCTATCAGCACAGGTGTGAGAGCTGAGGCGGTGCCCCTGGAAGGGCCAAAACTGGATCCCACAAGGCGGCAGATGGGGAGCTATGGTCAAGGAAAGAAAGGTGTCCCTTGGGCAAGGATCCTGGTATCTGTGGGATGCAGAGGGCAGAGGCTGGGGTGAAGGACTGGGCTGAAGTGGGCATAACCAGAATAGTCTGGAAAGCCCTGAAGGAAGGCCTGGAACTGAGAGTGGTCACAAGATGGACTGGGCAGGCCGGAGGTAGGGAGGTCAGGCTGGATCAGGAACCTGGCTGGGATGGGGTGTGGCAGGAAAATGGCTTGAGATGGAGGGAGGAAAGGGAAAGGTGTAGCAGGTATCAGAACCAGCTTGGGAGGGAAGGAAGGAAGGAGGCACAGAGTCCAACGCCACTTCCAGGCTTTCAACCTGGGTGAGGTCACTCACTAAAAGGACATAGCTGGCCAGGGGGCAGCCCTGTTCAGTAAGCCCGGGCACTGCCACCATGGGTCCCTCCACAAGGGGGCGCTCACAGCCTTTGCATTTATAGTTACAGTGTTTCTATTTTAAAGGCAAAGATAGGAATTTTTACAGGGCCCCAGAACCAATAGCATTGGAACTTATGTTTCACACTTTACAGAGTTTATTTAATGTACTTTTACAGTTTTAAACACATTTCCAACAATTAACATTTCTTCCTTAGGAAATGTGGGACTTTGGGAGATAACAGAGAATAGCTACATACATATGGGCACGCACACCCCCCCCACTACCGTGCTCAAGGGTAGCCAGGATGGGGTAAAGGTGTGCTAGTGGAAGGGAGATGGTGGCTTGCGGTGAGCGTTGCTTGAGCTAACCTCCAAGAGATGTGCTGCAGGTAACCCAAAAGGCAGAGACTTGAGAGGTGAATGTGGGAGTCATGGTGGATTAAGTGACTCCTGCAGCCTTGAGGACTTTTCTGTCTCTGTGCCTCTGCGTGCTATTCATCTTGCAGGCTGCTTACCTGCCTCTAGCTCACAAGCACACACTCCCGCTCCTGCCAGGCTGGCCATGCCTGCCTCTAATCCCCACCTTATCTCCTGCGTGTAGGGGGGGTGTCTCCCAGGCCACAGCTAGAAGACGGGCACAGTCTCCTTGTTACCACTACTGCCTGGCACAGTGGCGAGGACATGGATGGTGCTCAATGAACGCTGGTTGCTCAGTTGAATGACTGTGGCTCAAGGAAGCCCATGGTTGAGAGTGTGTGAGGAGAATGTGGAGGAAGAGATGGACACATCACCGTCCATCCATCCACAGGTCCTTCTCCTACATGGACAGCTATAACCAGGACATTCGCTTTGACAATGTCTACATCAGCACCTACTTCTGTCAGATCGATGAGCGCAGGAAGCAGCTGGTGAGCGGGCACAGGCCTGCCCAAAGATGCCTTGCTGTGTGCCCTGTGTGGGCTTCGTGCTCCAGGAGGGCAGAAGGGAAAGGGCTGTGGGCCCTTGGGGTTCCTAACTGTGCAGACATGTTTTTCCAGGGCAAACGGTCTCTGCTGCCACTCCGCAAAGCCGAGGCAAAAACCGTCATCTTCCCCTGCAAGCCCACTATTCAGGCCTCGGAAATGAGAAATGTGGTGAGGACGGTATGGGCAGCAGGCTCCTGGATGCGGCCACAGGCCGCGAGCTGAGGGTGGAGGGCAGAGGCACCGAGTGCTCCCTGCCGAGGCAGGCATCGGGCGCAGGTCCACCCTCCCACTCCTTGGGTAGGTGAGGGAGCTCCTGGAGACGCTGCCCATTCTGCTGCTGCTGCTGGTGATGTGCGGACTGGACTGGGCTCTCTACTGCATCTTCGACACCATCCGCCACCACTCCTTCCTGGAGTACTCCTTCTACAGTGAGGCCAGACCACACTCCAAGTCCCAGGCCCAAGAGACAATCCCTGGAGAAGGCCAACCCCTGTGCAGCCACCCCACCCCATTCTTCCCACTGCGCCTCCTCCTGCTTCTTCTGCTCTCTTTTCTGTGACTCAGCCCCACCCTGTCCTCCTCAAGGTCAAATCTCAGCCCTGCAACCTGACAGCTGTCACTGCGGTCCTCAGTTAACCCTTTACATTTACAACAGGGAGGGGTTAGGGTTCACTGAAGTCATGGAAAGACCTGTGCAGCTGAGAAGTATGTCTGTGCCCTAACTCTTCCCCAACATCCAGCCCCCATCCTGCCCACCCCCTTAAATCCAGCTCTTTCCTGACTCCGCCCCCCCCCCACTGCCCCGGCCTTAGGCAGTCATAAACTGGAGGTGAAGGTCGGTGGAGACTCCATGCTTGCCCGGCTTCTTAGGAAAACCATTGGGGCCCTGAACACCTCCTCAGAGACAGTGGTGAAATCAAACAACATGCGTGAGTAAGGTTGAAAGTTTGGATCAGAGAAACTGAGGGCTGGGGGCAAAGGTCAAATGATTTCCAAGGTAAAGAGTTGGGGAACTGGCCGGGTGCGGTGGCTCACGCCTGTAATCCTAGCACTCTGGGAGGCCAAGGCGGGCAGATTGCTCAAGCACAGGAGTTCAAAACCAGCCTGAGCAAGAGTGAGACCCCGTCTCTACTATAAATAGAAAGAAATTAATTGGCCAACTAATATATATAGAAAAACTTAGCCGGGCATGGTGGTGCATGCCTGTAGTCCCAGCTACTAGGGAGGTCGAGGAAGTAGGATCGCTTGAGCCCAGGAGTGTGAGGTTGCTGTGAGCTAGGCTGACGCCAGGGCACTCATTCTAGCCTGGGCAACAAAGCGAGACTCTGTCTCAAAAAAAAAAAAAAAAGAGTTGGGCAACTGAGCCTTGGGTGTGGAGAGATAGGGGTTGGCATGCTTGAGTTGGGGAATCAGAGCATGGCACACTTGGGCAGGCTTGAAGAAGTGGAGGTTGACGGGTTTGAGTTGAAGGAGTCTGGAGACTGGGGTCTTGGTGCCAGAGGGTCCCAGCCCTCTAGAGCAGCACTAGCCAGCAGAACTTTCTGCTGTGGTGGAAATTTTCAAGATCTGTCCCACACCGAGTAAACAGCCTCATGGGCCTACTGGCTACAGTATTGACAGTGTAGTTCTGCAGGGTGAGGGGCAGGCAGGAGGAGAGCAGGGATCAGAGGCCTAACATGCACTTCCCACTGGGTTGGGGGGCTCAACCCAGGGCTGCCCTGTCCCTAGGCTAACCCTGACCCTGCCCTCTCCCCCAGCCTGCCTGCCCCAGCCTGTGGGCCTGGATGCCAGGGCCTACTGGAGAGCCGTACTGCCAACTAGCCTGCTACTGTGTCTCTGCCTGGTACAGGCTTTTGGCTACCGGCTCCGGAGAGTCATTGCAGCCTTCTACTTCCCCAAGGTGTGCCCTTCCCTAGACCTCTCCACCCTTACATACCTGCGTGTGCACGCATACACACACGCACTGCACCAGCTCCCCACCAACTCCATCTTTGGGGGATGCCTTCCTCCTCCCCTTCCTGCCCCCAGCGAGAGAAGAAGCGGATCCTGTTCTTCTACAATGAGCTATTGAAAAAGAGAGCAGCCTTCACCAAATTGAGGAGGGCTGCCATCATGAGGCGAGCACAACAGCAGAAGGCTCCGGTAAGTCCAGGCCTGCACGGTCCTGCCAGCTCCTGGCTGCGTCTAAGAACTGTGGGGGAGGGGGCAGATCCTTCACCCAGCACCTACCAGTGGTCCCAGGCCTACTTGCACTTGGTGAGTTCTGATGTGACACATGCTAAGGGCCCCAGTTATACAGCTCCTGGAGGTCAGGGAGCTGTACTAGAGATGAGTACCGAGTGCCAGTCAGGTGTGGGGCTCTAGTGCCAGAGGGCCTGCTTTTGAACCCTGGCTCCTCCCCTTATTACCATGACTAGTATGTGATCTTGAGCACATTACTTAACTGCTCTGTCTTAGCTTTTCCATTCTGTAAAATGGCATTAACTACTCCATCAAGTTGTAAGGGTTAAGTGAGTTTTACTCGCGTGGTGCTGGCATGCAGCAAGTTCTGTACATGTTTACTGTCATCATGTGACCCTGGGCAAGTGACCACCTCTCCAAGGATCAGTTTTCTCACCTGACAAAGAGATGATGATGATAACACTGTCTGCCTTATATGATTATTGATTGAATTACTTACCGTATCTTAGTACAGGGCCTGATATTATAACCAATGAGTGGCAGCCAGTCTTACACAAAGTTCATAATAGTGAGACTGTTTGCTTAACTTTTTCCTCCAGTGCCTAGACCCTCCCAGCCCCCATGACAAACAATAGGGGCAGCCGGATGAATGTGCTATGGAAAAATGAACAACAAAAAAGAATGAATTGGGACTCCTTGACAGTGTCCTGAAGTAAGCTGGATTTGAGTGTGCATGTGGAAATGTGAGGGACAGTCATTACCAGCTGAGGGCACAGAACGTGCAAAGACTCAAAGTCAAAGGGACTGCCAAGTGCCAGGCCTAGTATAAGGAGAAACTGGCGCACAAAAGACAGCATTCAGGGAGGGTGAAGTGGAGCAGAGGCTACAGAGGGATCAGATTGTGGAAGGCTCTGGAGGCCAAACCCAGGAGTTCTGCCTGGCAGGCAGGCAGTGGGGCCCCTGAAGCTTCTTGAACAAAGAGTGACCTAATAAGGTGGCCTGTGAAGAATTATTCCTGGCAATTGTGTGGAGACAGTGTATAGGGGACAGGAAAGAATAATGAATTGGGCTTGTGATTTGGAATCAGCACATATGGGTCCAGCCAGGTTTGATTGTTTACTATTTGTGTGTCTTTGAGAAAGTCACTTCACCTTTCTGAGATTTATCTTTCTTGTCTGTAAAGTGGGGATAACAATAGTGACAGTCTATCTGGCCTACTCATTTCTCAGCCTCACGTGAGAACTGCAAAAGATAGTTGTTGCTGATATCCACTGGGAGAGAGCCTGGAGGCTGCATCCTCCCACTCTCCATCACGGAATGGGGCAGGGAGGCTGTCCACAACCCACTTCCCTAGCACACTGGCCCTTCAGGGGTCTTCTGTGGCCAACCCAGCCTCGCCCATGTGGTCACTGTCAGGTCTCCTAACTTCAGATAAGAAGTGCTGTCCAGTTCCCTTCGCAAACCCCTCTTTCGCCCCTCGCTCCCCAACTGGCTCTAACCCCCACCTCCCAACAGCGCCACCACCTGGTGGACATCCTGCACCGCCGCTGCCCGCTCCTGCGGCCCTGGCTGCGCCGGCGCTGCGTGGTGTGCCTGGCACCCGAGACGCTCGAGTCCTACGTGTGCCCGACGCTGGACTGCGAGGCCGTGTACTGCCTGTCGTGCTGGGACGACATGCGGCAGCAGTGCCCGGCCTGCACGCCCCGCGAGGAGCTCTCCTCCTCCGCCTTCAGTGACAGCAATGACGACACCACCTACGCAGAGTGAAGGGGCGCCTGGCTTGCTCCCCCGCCCCGCTCCCTCCCGGTTAATAAAACGCCTCGTACGCTCCTGCAGCCCGCGTGAGCCTGGCGCGGCCCAGCCGGCAGTCGGGAGCACTGGCTCGCTGGATCTCCACCGGGCCCGGCCGCGGACGGGAGGCGGGAAAACAGCGAAGCCACTAGGGAGGGGGCCAGACCTGGGGCCAGGTGAGGGCGCGACGCCCAAGCCGGTGGGACCGGGCCTCAGCTCCCACCCTGCGCTGTAGAGGAAAGGCGGCCGCGGGGAGAGGCGCGGGCGGCGCCGGCCTCGGGGGCGGGTTCCGGCTTCTGTAGAACCCGGCGCGGCGGGGGCGTGGCCTGGCGGGGGCGGAGCCGGGGCGGGCGGAGCCTGGCTCCGGGCCGGGTGGGAGGGGGCGGGGCGGGGCCTGGTGGCAGCGCTGCGCGGCAGGGCGCTCCAAGCAGACCCGGCCGCGGGCGGCTCCTCCGCGAGCGGTCTCGCACCTGCTGCCCTCGCCCAGCCCAGGGCGCCGCTGCCATGCGGCTGGCGCTGCTGTGGGCCCTGGGGCTCCTGGGCGCGGGCAGCCCTCTGCCCACCTGGCCGCTCCCAAGTATAGGTGAGTCCTCAGTCTGGAGCGCGTCACCGCGCGGGCTGGGAGGAGGTGCAGGGAAGTCGGAAGGCATTGGGGTTCTGGGGTCGGCCAGAGATCCTGGAAGAGCCCAGCCAGAGCGCGGCCCGCCCGGGTCTGCTGTCCTGGGCCTAAGGCCCGGCGACTGGGTGATGGAGAGGAGGGGAAAGCGGGCAGATGCCGGTGTCCTCACCTCCTGGCCGTCCTCTGCGCGGTGTCTGCGGACACTTTCAGGTTCAGGTACCAGAGACCGAAGGGCCTGCCCTGCGCTCCTCAGGATCGTGGAAAGAGGGTCGCTGCTTCCTACGACTGACATCTTCGGTCCTCTGGGGCCTAGCTGACCGTTCCACCCGGTGCCAGTGCGCCGAGTGGGCACGGCTAATAGGGTTTAGTGACGAGGATTCTTTCTAGCCCCTTATCCCAGGCCTAGGCAGCCAGGTACCTTCACCCTGGTGCTATTGCCACCAGATGCCTAGCCGAGCTGGAGGGCCCGGAAAGAGCAAGGAGAAGGGAGAATTGGCCAGGAAAGAGGCTGGGACACCAGCTCCTCCTTGGAACTTTCACTTCCCGCTGCTGTCTTGGGCTGGGGGCCGAGAGGGCAGGCGCGGGTGGAGTGTCCGGAGGAGAGAGGGCCATTGTGTGTAGGAGGGGTGCTGGGGGGAGGAAGCCCAGGCTGTGGGGAGCGGGTGTGTCTGACTGGGCATGAGGGGTATTTAGGGAGGTGGGGGTGTTTGCACTGCTCACCCAGAAATGGGCGTTCCTGGCATCTCTGAAGTGAAGGAAGGGGAGGGTGTGTGGGCACCCGGCCACAGGGCTTAGCTCAGTCTTGAGAGGGGGCGTTCCCGGGAGGGGAGTGATCGGGAGGGAGTGGGAACAGGGGAGGGTGCCTGTGAGAACCTGGGATTGGCCCTAGGGGGACAAGGAGGAGCCACAGGCTGGCCAAGCTGAACTTCTTTCTCTGGGGACTTGTGGATAGGCTGGTGGGTGGAAAGCCATAAATTGGAGAGAAGCCCCCTCCCTCCAGCATTCTCCTTTAAGTCCCAGCATGCAATGCAGGAGCCCTTCAAGCACCTAAGGGCCTTGATGTGCTGGGTGCTGGTGGGTCTGGTGTCGATCCCTCAGCACTGTCTTGGGGTGTCCTGGGACCCTACAGGTGGCACTGAGGAGCAGCAGGCAAGGTCAGAGAGCGCCCTGAATGGGCCCTTGGAGCCCCAGGTCCTTCAGGACAACCTCCCAATTAACCTAGCAGAGGTGCTTCAGGTGAGCGCCCCTCTCCCCTCTAATAAATATATACACTCGCCCTCACCCCCAGCACAGTCAGGTGTCTCAAGGCCAAAGCTTGGCTGAGGAGCTGGTGAGGAGACCTCACAGAGGCAGGTCCATTCTAGGTCTGACTGCCTCTCCCACCACACCTGGCTTCACTTATCGCCCTCTCTCCTCTACACGCACATCTGTCCGCCTCAGCCCCACCCAACCCATCCATCTCCACTGGGGAAATTCTGAAGCCAAGCTTGCTTTCTTCATCCCAGGTTGTCAGTTTTCTCAGTGGGGGGATTTGGCAAGGGTCATGGCCTCACCAAACCACCCCCCACACTCTCTAAAGCTGAGTCAGAGGAAGGGCTGGGGCCTGCACTGGGTCCTCTATGATGCTTCCTCTCTGGGCAGGAAGCCGAGAAGGGGCGGCTCAAATACCTTCCTTGACCTCCCCACACAACCCCCCAGAACAATGCCCCTGGCCAGGCAGGGTTTCCTGGCCCTTCCCTTGGGATCCCCCCACCCGTGATCTAATCGTTGGTGCTCTCCTGAGGGCCTGAGGTTTACTGGTTAGAGAGGGTAGGATTTGCAGGCATGTCTGGGAGGTGACATGCTCTCTGGTGCCCACAGACCAGTCTGCCTGAGTCCCTAAGGATCAAATTGGAGCTGGATGGTGAGAGTCATATCCTGGAGCTGCTACAGAATAGGTAATAGTGATGATTATAATAATGATTGCATGGCTAACAACTTGTATAGCATTTACTATGTGCCAGGTACAAAGTGCTTGCACTCATTTAATCCTCATAACAACCCCTAAGGGAAATACTATTATGTATTATTGTCCTCATTTTACATATGAAGAAGTCAAGGCACAGAGAGGTTAAATGGCTTGGCCTGGTCACAGAGCTAGTATGGTGAAAACCAAGTTAGAACCCAGATAGCCTGGCAGAGTCAGTGGCCCAACTGGTATACCTTGCTGCGTTGGGGGAAAGTGGGAAGGTTGGGGGCTACCTGGTTCCCAGTCCCCCTACTGCCTCCAAGCCTCAGCTTGTCACTATACCAACCTGGGAGGTGGCTCAAAAATTGCCCTCCTTATTCTTCACTCCACAGGGAGTTGACCCTAGGCCGCCCAACCCTGATGTGGTACCAGCCCGATGGCACTCGTGTGATCAGTGAGGGTCACACTCTGGTGAGTCAGGCCCTCTTGTGCCTAGTTTCTGGCCTAGGGGAAAGAGGGAGGGAACATCTAGGGGATGCCAGCCCTGGAAGATGTGAGTGGACATTGCATATCTTTACCAACAAGCTAGACTCCCGGATTCAAATCCTGACTACCATCCGGGATAGCACTAACGTTTCCCTGCTGTAGGAGAATTGCTGCTACGAGGGAGGAGTGCAGGGCCACGCAGACTCCTGGGTGTCCATCTGCACCTGCTCTGGGCTCAGGTACAGTGGGCAGATTCCATGACAGTGGAGAGAGTGAGGGGACACCAGGCAAGGAGCTGAAATGTTCTCTGACTACCTTTCTCTTTCCTTAGGGGCTTAGTGGTCCTGTCTCCAGAGAGAAGCTACACCCTGGAGCAGGGGCCTGAGGACCTTCAGGGTCCTCCCATTATCTCCCGAATCCAAGACCTCTTCCTGCCAGGCCGCACCTGTACCCTCCGAGGGCGTGCATCTGTGCCTATGCAGGCTTCACCAGAGGGACAGCACCACATTCGCAGGGTAAGGATGAAAGGCAGGAGGGCTGGGCTTCGATCGTCTTGAGGGCTGATCCCTACCCTCAGAGCTATGTGTTCACAGTAACAACAGCTCCTGCTAATGGAGAAATTTCCACGTGCCAGGAACTTTGTGAACATTATTTCATTTACTCTTCTCAGCAACCCTAGGAGGTAGGTGCTCTTAATAGCTCTATTTTAAAATGAGGAGACCAGTTCCGAGAGGTTAGGTGACTTGCCCAAGGCCATGCAACTAAGAAATGGTATGTCCAGGATTTGTACTACTCATCGTCTTATGGTCCCATGTGCAGAGAAATCTCACTTGATTATAGATAACATACAATGAAAAGCAATGAAAACCAAATTTCCTAATTTTTAAGATGGAGATAATAAAACTACTTGCTTTATAGGGTTGCTGGGAAAATTAAATGAATATATATATATATATATATATACACACACATATATATATAAAGTGCCTGGAACTGTGCTGGACATATGATAAGTGTTTGATAGTGTTGGCTATTGTTATTTTTATTATTATTATTTTAAATTTGGAAAAAGCACTGAGTTTGGAGACAGAAAAGCAGGGATCTACTCCCAGCTTCATAATCTACTTCTTGGTGGTCCTTGGCAAGTCCCTGGCCTCTCTGGCCCTCAGGAGTTCACCTGTAAAATGGGCTGTCCACCCTCCTCTGCCTGACTACACACGTAGGAGTGGACACATCCTGGTGGGCGTACGTAGCTGCTGGCCATGAGTAGCAGTTTGCCTGATCCTCCACTTTCTTGTCCATAGTGGAGGCGGGATGTGGTGACAGAGACCAAGATTGTTGAGTTGGTGATTGTAGCTGATCATTCAGAGGTGAGCCCACTGGCCCTTGTATATCCTCCCCTAACCCTCACCCACCCTGCCACCTTTCATGGTCACCTCTCTTGGCCCACAGGTCCGGAGGTACCCAGACTTCCAGCGCCTGCTGAACCGCACGCTGGAAGTGGCCCTCCTGCTGGACACAGTGAGTGTTGGACAGGGCAGCAGCCCCATAGCCCCTGACCATGGCTACCCCTCTTCTGAGCCCAGCTCTCTTTCAGTTCTTCCGGCCTCTGAATGTACGAGTGGCACTAGTGGGCCTGGAGGCCTGGACCCATCA